TTTTTTGTCCATTTATCTGTTGAAGGGTACCTAGGTTGTTTCCAGAGCTTAGCTACTGTGAATTGAGCTACTATAAACATTGATGTGGCACATCATTATAATATGCTAAAAATAATTTTTAATAGTTAAGAAGCACATATAGATTTGGTCTAAGCTATCATTATGTAGGATAAAAGGCAGATTTTATTTTCTTTTAGATTTTTTTTGACAGATAGGGATTTAAACCAGGGTCTCACACATGCTAAGCAAGCACTCTACCACTGAGGTACATCCTCAGCACCCAGATTTTATAATATTGATTTTTTTTTAAGGAGGACAAAGTTTGCCTGATACAGTGGCGTACACCTGTAATCCCAGCAGTTTAGAAGGCTGAGACAGGAGGATCACAAGTTCAAAGCCAGTTTCAGCAACTTAGCAAGGCCCTAAGCAACTTGGTGAGACCCTGTCTGTATGTAAAGTTTAAAAGGGTGGGGAATGTGGCTCATTGGTTAAGCACCCCTAGGTTCAATCCCCCCCAAAACAGGGGGGCAGGGAACAACATACTTCTAGTCTGAGTTGCTCAGAGGCTGAGGCAGGAGGATCCAAGTTCGAGGCCAGTCAATTTACAGAGTCCCTGACTCAAAAATAAAAAGATGCTGGGGATGTAGCTCAGTGGTAGAGCACTTGCCTAGCATGTTTGAAGCCCTGGGTTCAGTCCCCAGTATGAGGATAGGAAGCTAAGAAAGTTCATTGATTGGTTAGTCATATTAAATACTGAATATAGTACCTTATATGTGTCAGAAGTTGTATTAATTACATAAAATATAAAAACAAACCAACTTTAGGCTCACAAGTTGTAGGTGGACACATACTTTAATTTTATTTATTTTTATGTGCTCAGGATCAAACCTAGAGCCTCCCACAGTCTAGGGAGGTACTCTACCACTGAGCTACAACCCCAGACCACACAAGCTTCATTCTTGGCTTAGGCATTGAAGACTGTTGCCACAGGTGTATAATGCAAACCTGAAAAGGATAAAGAAATAGAGATGAGCTCTGAGATCAAAGGGAGTTGGAGAAGTGGATAATAATTTGAACTGGGGAGTCAGACTCTAAGACATCTAGGGCCTGGTATATAGTAAGTACTCAATAGAGGATTTGTGAATTTATTGAATGGTCCTCACCCTTTTCCACAAGTTCATTTCCCACTAGCCTAGTCCAGCTGCCATCTCCTTGATGTTGCTCCAAGCACTGCCTGACTTTAAAGTCCAAGTACTGGTCCCTGGGCCCATGGTGACTTCCCTCCCTCTCTACTCCATATTCTCTGGCTGAATCTTCCTTGTTCTGTAGCACAGGAAATGTTAACATTTGTGTGCCAGGGTCAGGTTTCCAGCTACCTGAGAACTACCAGGGGCAAGAGTCCTGCCAGGAAGGAATCCTGGGTCCCTGGGGGAGGGGTTCACAAGCCCAGTTTACCTGGAGAGCACTGCAGAGACTGTTCCCTCCTCCTTTTGCACAACACATAAAGGAGGACTCCAGTGAGAATGAAGACAATGGCCAGGAGGGACAGCACTGCCACCATGACTGATTTGTTAATTGCAGTGCCTTCCATTTCTTCCTTTTGCCTCTGTTTCTCTCCATCCTTAAACCCAATTCCCAGGTTATAACCCACAGTGAAAGTGGTGGTTTCCTTTAGGTGAGTGAGCTCTTTGTCCAAAGGCAGCACTCCTGATGGAAGCTTGAATTGCTGGGTAGACTGCTGAGTAGGTGGCAGGTGCATCTGGGCAGGAGTGCTCGTATCTGGAGGTGCCAACTCTGTGGGCTCAGGAATTGGAGTGCTGGGAAAAAGTAAGTGCCCCTGGTTGACCCGACTCTTCCCACGTTCATAGCCACACTCTGAAGAGGAAAGAAGTGAGAAGCAGGGATATCAGGGAATAGGTGAAAAGCAGACAGAGGTACAGGAAAGAAAAAGTGGTAAATTTCCTCATTCATCCCCCAAATCATGGCTGACACCCCTATAAAAACCAAAAAAAAAAGATTAAAGCTGGGTGTGATGGCATACACCTGCCATCCCAGCAACGCAAGAGGCTGAGGAAGGATGATTACAAATTTGAGACCAGCATCAGCAATTTAGCAACCCTCAGTAACTTAGGGAGACCATGTCTCAACATAAAAAATTAAAAGAACTGGGGATGTATCTCAATGAGAGAGCACTCCTGAGTTTAACCCCAATGTATCCCCCAAAGAAATTAGATATTAACAAGAGAAAAGCATAACAAATGTATTTAATCAGTTTTACAGAGCATGGGAGCCTTCAGAAAGAAGACCCAGATTCAGGAAAAAATATTTTTGTCCTTAGATTGAATGAAGAATGGACAGTTATGTAGAAGTATGTACAAAAAGGGTATGATCTAGCGGTGATAAATGGGGTTGGAGGAGACCAGCAAAGCTTGCCTATTCCAATTCTTCTTGGCCTCCCAGTATAGGGCAGGACCCCTATGGAAGGAGAATATTATGACTTATTTTCAGATGAGGTAGGTCATAGAATTCCTTTAGGGAACACAGAAAGATGGTGGAAGGTCAGAGTGAGCTTGCTTTGGCAGTTTCTCAATTGCTAAGGGGCCATGGTTTGGGGTATGGTGTCCCAAGCCTCAACAAAGGGAAGGATAGTAGGTCAAGGACAACATCAAGGGCACAACTGAAGGCCAAGAGAGGGAGGGAGACAGCAACAGCTGGGAAAGGCAGGGGACAAGGAAGTTAGCAAACCCCAAGATAGAACTACTGAGACAAGTGAATATTCTGAACTGGAGTATCAGGAGGCTTGGATTGTACCCTGAGCTGTGCCACAAAATAGCTGTTTGACCTTGCCCCTCATCTCTAAACTCTCTGGGACTAACTTCTTTCATCTGTCAAATGAGTATAATTGTAGTACCAAGGGCCAAGGTAGCTGGGAGGATTAAAGAAATAACAGGTCTATGTAGCCTGAAGGATTATACTTCACAATTTTTGGTAGGACATCAAAGAACATTTTGTATTTTAATAGTTGTGTATTTATTTCAAGAGCAAAATACAATCAGCACATCATATATGTGACTTCAGTCAGGTGCAGTGGTGCACACCTATAATCCCAGCAATTCAGGAGGCTTAGGCAGGAGGATCATGATTTCAAAGCCAGCCTCAGCAATTTAGGAGGCATTTAGCAACTCATTGAGACCCTGTCTCTAAATAAAATATTTTAAAAAGGGCTGGGGATGTGGCTCAGTGGATGAGGAACCCCTAGGTTCAATCTGTGGTACCAAATATATATATATATATGAAATAAAAATATATAGTGACTTCACAGATTTTTTAGGACAAATTGTTAAATAACTTTTTTTTTTGCAAAACCAACTTGTGTACACTTATGATTTATTCACTTCATTATATGCAAAATATACCCCCAAAAAAGAGCAGTGAAATTTTGAACTCTATTTAATAATATACATGCTTAAACATTTTGCGATGAAATGTAACCATACCTACAACTTAGGTTGAAATGCATCACAAAGTCAGCCGCTGTGAGACACACCTATACATACTCCCAGTTACTCGGGAGATTGAGGCAGGATCACAAGTTCAAGTCAAACTCAGCAATTTAGCAAGACCCTCAGCAACTTAGGGAGACCCTGTCCCAAAATAAAAAAAATAAAAAGGACTGGGGATGTAGCTCTGTGGTAGTGCCCTGGGTTCAATCCCCAGTTCCAGAAAAAGAGAGAGTGAGAGAGAAAAAATCCATCAAAAAATAAGATGGATCTAAAGAAAAATGAGGAAGTGCCCCTGGGTTCAAGAAAGAAATAGAGAGAGAAAGGCAGGCAGGCATCAAAAAATATGATGGATCTAAAGAAAAATGAAATTGCAGGAAAATGGATGGAAGATGTGAGAACATTAAGTTAAGCAAAACAAACTAAAAAGGTCAAGGGCCAGGTTTTCTGTCACACGTGGAAGAGGAAAAAGGGAATGAAAGGGGGGGGTGTCTCATGAAAATCAAAGGAAAATCAGTACAACAGAAAAAAGGGACCAGGGGGATGGAGAAGGGAAGGGCAAGGGGAAACACTGGGCAGTGAAACTGGCCAAATTATATTATTATATTGTGTACATGTATGAATATGTAACAACAAATCCCCCACCATTATGTACAACTATAATGCACCAATAAAAATGTAGAACAATTTTTTTAAAAAAATAAGATGGGTTAATGATAGAGAAGGATATGCAATAAGCTAATACAGTAAAATGATGTAATCTCAATATTGTGAATATTATATATTGTAAATATTTGCTTTATATGTGAGATATAGGTATATATAAATAAAAATATTGCAGTCTAGGTGATGGACATATCATTGTTCATTGTACAATTCTTTAAACTTTTATATATGTCTAAATTTTCATAATTAAATATTAGAAAATGAAAATAATGCCTTCAAGTGATTTCAAGGAAAATACAACAGTGATTATGAAAACGTTTTATATGATAGTGATTTCAAGAAAAAAATTAAGTACAAAATATCACATGAGGTAGAATTGGCAAAAAAAAAAAAAAATCATGAAGGAGCTGATAAATGATGTTTGGTAGGAATGGACTTAAGCGAAAGTACTTTGGCCAGAATCAGAAGCTTCAAGGATGTAGTGTCTCGGCTTAAGGGCGGAGGCGAAGGAATTTATAAGATGGAAAGCTGCGGTGCCCAAAGTTGAGGAGGAAAGGCAAAGCTCTCACCTCCTCTATCAAAGCAGCTCATTAATTCACGAACCGATGGGTTTTTGATGCTCCCACATACGCTCTTTCTAATTAGCTCAAACCTGCAAGAAACAGAACCTGGTCTCAGCAGCAGCACCTTCCCCACCTTTCCTCATTCCAAAGACTTAACGTCACCCAAAGAAAGTTGTTTCTGCGGAGACTGGAAATCCCCAGTGAAGTGAAACAGAAAAAAGATGGTGCAGAGAGTTAGAAGGAACAGAACTCGGAGATGGGGCAGGATTCACTCCGAGGGGGTTTGCGTTTGACCAGAGAGGATTCCTGGAGACAACTGGCAGGGACGGACAGTTAGGCGCTGCCAGCTGGGTGAGGAAGATTACCTGATGTAGGGTGGACAGTCACGATAGGCTCTCAGGTATTTTCGGTAATGATCCATGATTTGCCAGGATAGTGGGTTATTAGAAATTCTTTCATCACAGGGACAGCTTCCAGTGACGCTGCCTTCGTTGCCATCTCCTGAATGGGATAGAGGCGATCCTACCTGTTCTCAGGCCAAGAATCTCCCACCGCTGGTACTTAATCTACTTGGTCTCCAACTCATTGTCCCATGCAGCCTCTCCCCCTGGGCCTCAACCCACACATCACACACCGCACCCCTCCAAAACGTCCATAATCCCACCAGGAACCCGTTGTCTCCAGCCTCCATACCCAAACCCAAGCAACTTCCCCTTGTCCCAATTGCCTTGGAAGCCCTGCAGCGCCCCAGTTCTGCACTCAACACCGCGGCCCTAGTGTCCCCTTCCCTAGCGCATTCTCTTCCCGGGACTCCAGGCTCCGGACTACGAACCCGCTCCAGACTAACCTGGCAGAATCAGCAGCACTAGCAGAAATAGGAACTCGGGGAGCAGGGGTCCCGAGCTCGGTCTCATCTCCGGGATCGAGGGGAGTTTAGCTCATAGGGCCGCCTCTCCCTGACTCGGGATCGGAGAGTGTGACGTCCAGCTAATTTCTCGACGGCTTTCACTTCCTTCCTCCGCCCACCTCAGGTTCTGGAGAAGATTGCGGGGGCCGTAGGTGCCAAGTCTCGGCTGGGGAGAGGGCGCGAGGCGGAGGCGGCCTTCCGCCCAGCGCTCGCGCCGTCCCGAACCGACCTTTGGTCAGTATTTCCGAGCCCGTGCCGCGTCTGCCACCCGCGACAGGGAAATCCCCAAAGCGGAGCTCCTTAGCCCCGTGCCTAACCCAGAGTGGACTGAGGGGGCGGTCAGGAATGTCCGACGAAACCGAAAGAAAACTCAGACTTCGGGGTGAGACGAGTCTGGGTAGGCGGGCAGTTACTATACGGGATGATCGAGTTCGGTTCGGGGATGCCAGCCCCTCTGGCCGCCACAGGCCAGTCCGCGGACCTGTGAAATGGATGAACGGCTAGACTCCCACCTGCTCCAGCATGCTTTCATTTCCCTGGCTCCTCCGCTCCGTCGCGGCGGGATCCACTCTGCGGTGCGCAGAGGTGAAGCGGTCATAGGACTCGGGCTCAGCAGCGCACGCACTGGCTAGGGCAGCCACCCGCCAAGACACCCAGTTCGGGGGGGCGTGGCCACCCGAGGGACTGGCCGTGGGCTCGGGCAGCCCTGACGTCACGACCGCCCCGCACCCGAGGTATTTACCTTCGAAAAGTAGTGGCGGCTGCAGGTACCGGAGGAGTAGGGCGACCGGGTAGGGCTAGGTCTACTGGGGCTCACGCCAAAGTCCAAGGGATGCCTCAGCTCCTATTCCCTCTTCCCATACCCCATAGATCAGTGGGTCTTCCTTCCTCACAAGCCCTTCCCTTTAGGATTAACCCTACCTCATCTCTATCTCTAATTAAAACCTTACTTTAGAGAATTTGAGTACTCAAATTTTGAGCTCAGAATACCATCTCATCCCTGAGTACTCATCTTCAACGCTAATAGCTCACTTTCCAATCCAGGCCCTCCTCCACCATTCTCACCCCAATCTCCCATCCTCATTCCCAGAAACCCTACTCTCAGCTCCTAATATTCATCCATAGATCCACCCTAAGTGACCTTCAAAACCCCATTCTCGCCCATTTAGTGACCCTGCCCCAAACTTTCTCAACACTACCCTATTACTTCCTATGCTCAGTCTGGGCCCAGGCCCTGTGCCCCTGAAGACATGGAGTTTGTGTCTGGATACCGCGATGAGTTCCTTGATTTCGCTGCTCTCCTCTTTGGCTGGTTCCGCAAGTTTGTGGCAGAACGGGGGGCTGTAGGGGCCAGCCTTGAGGGCCGCTGGCGACAGCTGGAGGCTCAAATCAGAAGGCTGCCCCAGGACCCCGCCCTTTGGGTGCTCCATGTCTTGCCCAACCGTAGTGTGGGCATCAGCCTGGGGCAAGGGGCAGAGCCAGGCCCTGGACCAGGCCTGGGGGCTGCCCGGCTCCTGGGAGATGAGCCTCCACTCCACCTTCAAGACCTGAGCCCCTATGTCAGCTTTGTCAGCCTAGAGGATGGGGAGGAAGGGGAAGAGGAGGGGGAAGAAGATGAAGAACGAGAGAATGGAGAGGAGGAGGTTGCAGGCACAGAGAAGGTGGAACCACAGGAGGATGGGGAACCGGCCACTACCAGTAGGGAATCCCCTCAGGAAGCCAAGCCTCCAGGGGAGCCAGAGGAGGCTGAACAGGAGGCATGTGGTGAGGATGGCTGCCGAAATTACAAGGTGGAGGATGAAATGGGACCTGAGAAGAGAAAGGAACGCAGGAGTGGTAAGAACCCAGGGCCAGCCTGCCCTATGTCCTGCCCAGCCATCCTCCCCTTATGAGGCCATCCCCTCTCACTCAGACTCAGCTAGGGGTCACAAACTGGTGGCCTTTGGATCATCTGGCCTGAAAAAAAGTGTTTTCATCAACCACAGTGTTTTCTTTATTTTTCAAATCAACATTTAAACATTGAAAGTGATGAAAATCTAAAAGTATGATCTGGGCATCAGGGTGCATGCCCATAATTCCAGCAACTTGGGAGGCTGAGGCAGGAAGACTGCAAGTTTGAGGGTGTCAGCATCTTAATGAGGTCCTGACTCAAAATAAAAAATAAAAAGGGCTGAATATGTATCTCAGTAGTAAAGCACCCTATGTTTGATCCCCAGTACCAAAAAAGAAGAAAACCCCAAATCCCCAGAAGTCTAGATTTATACTTCCTTAAGAAAAATCTAAAATTCTGACAGTGTGCCTACATTTCTGCATGTGGCAAATTCTGGTACTGTGTAGTAACAGTTGCCTTAAATGAGGCAGGGCCTCTCTACCTAGGCTCCTTTACTCACTGAACTTACTTGCCTAACCCCCACAGCATTTGAGTTTGATACTCCTGTCCCTGTACATCTTTGTTCCCTATTGTCTCTCCCAAATTTTCTCTCTTTCCCCAGAGACTGGCCCCCTGCACCTTTCCTGCCTCTTACTGGTAACGGATGAGCATGGCACCATCTTGGGCATTGATCTGCTAGTGGATGGAGTCCAAGGGAATGCAGGCCGGGGTTCAGGAACTGAGAACCTAGCTCCTCGGGCCTATGCTCTTCTCTGTCACAGCATGGCCTGCCCCATGGGCTCTGGGGACCCCCGAAAGCCGCGACAGCTTACAGTGGGAGATGCTCAGCTGCATAGGTACAGAAATCTGGTATTAGAGGATGAGGAGGTCTAGGGCCTGGACACTGGAGGCCCCTTACCCCATCCTGATGCCATTTCCACTTCAGAGAACTGGAGACCCTGGTCCCAAGGCTGGGTGTGAAGTTAGCAAAGACTCCAATGCGGACATGGGGTCCTAGGCCAGGCTTCACCTTTGCCTCCCTTCGGGCTCGAACCTGCCATGTTTGTCACAGGCATAGCTTTGAAGTGAAGCTGTCACCCTGGTGAGTAGCCCACAAAGATGGAGTCTGAAAAAAAGACTCTTAACAGGAAGAAAAAAAAAAAAAGCAAGTCAGGTCAGTTGGAGACAGCTGACAGATGGGGAGGGTCAGGGAAATACAAAGACAGAGATGGAAAAAAAACAAACAGGAATTACAGGTAAGTTAGAGGGTATAAGACAAAAAGGCCAAATGACACATGGGCAGCTGCGGGGCAGACGGCCAGCAGACAGGATATAGAGAGATTAACACTAGGTGCCTACCACCCCATGTCCCCCAGTCCCCAGTGCAGTGCTGTATTGTACTGTGGAGAGACTTGTCTCCGGGCTGATTGGCGGCGATGTCCAGATGATGTGAGCCACCGATTTTGGTGCCCAAGACTTGCAGCTTTCATGGAGCGAGCAGGGGAACTGGCAACTCTGCCTTTCACCTACACTGCAGGTACCATAAGGAGTTCAGAGTGGGCTGGGTGAACACTGGGACCAGGTCTTTGAGATAGGGCCTGAGTACCTGGAAACAAGGTTCTGGAACAGAAAACTAAGTGCCTTTGGCTGAAATCTAGATCCCTGGAATAAAGTTTGGGTACTGGGTATTTGGGGCTAGAGAAAGGATCTCTGAAATGGAAAACCAGGTGCCTGGGTCCCAGTGAGAGCTCAGGGGACTTTCGGGTAGGTTTCCAATGCTTGCTTCTCAGCTCCACCATCAACTGTCAGTGCAACCTTAAACATATCATGTTACTTCTTGGAAGCTGTAAAAGAGGAATCCTAACAAATGTAAAATCCCACAGAATTGTTACAAGGATGGTGTAGGCTCTGTGCCTGGTATACTGTAGACTCTCAGAAATGATAGTTCCCTCCTGACTAGAAACAGACTCAGACCCAGATTCCTTGGGGGAAGTTGAGCAGAACTCAAGTCTTGGGGCCTCAACACCAGGCCCTCAATACTTCCTCTCCTTCTCCAGAGGTGACCAGCGAAACCTTTAACAAGGAAGCCTTCCTGGCCTCCCGGGGACTCACTCGCGGCTACTGGACTCACCTCAGCATGCTGATTCCAGGACCTGGCACCCCCAGGCACCCCCGGGGCAGCACACCATCCCTTGGCCTTCTTCTCAGTGGTGTGTGGGGACTGTCCTCAGCCTAGAGGGAAGGATTGGGAAGAAAAAGTTGACCAGGTTCCAGATAATTCCTTCATATACACACCAAACCCCTACCAACACCAAAAGTGCCATTTCAACCCTCTCTGAAGCCTTCAAAGGGGTCACCCTGCCTATCCCATCCAGTAGCCTTGACCCTTAAAAGGCCCTCATCCCTCCTAGTACAGTTCTAGGCCCTCTCTCAGAGGACGCGGCTCTTCTGGAAGCAATAGAAGTTGGGTCAGGTGAAGGTTCCCTCTTCTTTTCATCCTCTCAGGAGATCCCTACCAGCTTCTCCAGGGGGATGGTCCTGCCCTGATGCCTCCAGTGCCCTCAGATCCACCCAAGGCCCTCTTTGGTGAGCAGGAAGGGCCCTGAAGAAGCCAGAGGTGGGGACAGGGAAGGCTAAAGGCCTGGGTGTCTGAGAAAAAGGGAGCTATCAGACCAGAAAGGTTGGGGTTTCAAGCTTGGAGCTGGGTCCTCCAGTAATCCACTCTCCCCCAGGCTCGTGGCAGGATTACTACACATGGCGGGGCCTCAGCCTCGACTCCCCCATGGCTGTGCTTCTCACCTACCCGCTGACCGTGTACTACGTCATCACCCACCTAGTGCCCCAGTCCTGTAAGGAGAACAGGGTAGGATGGGGGGATGTAGGGGCAGGAGGGGTCAGTGAGAAAGACCATTTCCTTAAAAACTGGCTTCTCCTTAGTCCCTGAGCTCAATATACAGAACAAGCAGTCGCTGAAGATCCATGTGGTAGAGGCAGGGAAAGAGTTTGACCTTGTAATGGTGTTTTGGGTAAGTCTTTCCTGGCCTGGAGACTGGCATTGGCTGTGGGGTGGACACAGGATGGGAGCTAGACCTGTCTTATCTTTGTTCTTCAGGAGCTTTTGGTCTTACTTCCCCATGTGGCCCTGGAGCTGCAGTTTGTGGGTGATGCCTTGCCACCCGAGAATGACCAGCAACATTTTACCCTGCAAAGGGTGAGGGCTTGAAGGAGGCCCTGATCCTTCTATTGGCCTCTTGATGTTTGTCTTCCTCTCCCCATTCTTCTGTCTTAACTGGTGCATCCACCTGAATTCTGGTGGCTTTTCCCCCAATCCTTGGCTCCACAGGATGGCCCTGAGGTGTCTGTCCGTCCTAATTCTGGAGTATCAGCACGGCTCAACTCTGGGACTAAAGAGAAAGGGGGTCGCAGGGACCTGCAGATCAAGGTGTCAGCCAGACCCTATCATCTGCTTCAGGGGCCCAAGCCTGACCTTGTTATTGGTAAGATCCTGGGACTAAGGGAGAGAAGTAAGGGGAAGGGAAGAGAGAAGGAGACCACAGAAGCCAGCATCTCTCTGCTCTTCCTGGGCAGGATTTAATTCCGGCTTTGGTCTCAAGGACACGTGGCTGAGCTCTCTGCCCAGATTACAGGTGGGGTATCTCACTTTCTTCCCAAACCCCTCCTTTCTTTTCTGAAAGCCTCTGTACTCTCCTCTCCCACATCAACTGCTCCCCAAACGTGGAGAGCACCCACGGGTCCTGGACCCTCTGAGCTCTGTGACTGCCTCCTGCCTCTGTTGCATCCTGGTGTGTCATAGGGTCTCAGTTTTCAACTGTCATCCTGGGGGCTTGGGATGTATCTGGAGGGAGGAGCCTCTTAGGGAGTCTCTAAGGCTCTGCCCCCCACCTCAGTCTCTCCGAGTGCCTGCTTTCTTCACTGAGAGCAGCGAGTATGGCTGTGTGATGGACGACCAGACCATGGCAGTGGCCACGGGAGGGGGCACCAGTCCTCCACAGCCCAACCCCTTCCGCTCCCCCTTTCGTCTCAGAGCAGCCGATAACTGCATGCCTTGGTAAGGGCCCACTTTCCCTCTGGACCCATAATCTCTCTTACTCTCTGTATCTAAAAGGTCTCCGTTCTCCTGGGACCTTACTCGCCTCAGCCCTATAGCCCCCCTTTTCTGTCCCCACTAGTCACCACCACCCCATCCCCGCTGTTCCAGATAATATCCAATACACCCCTTTGGATCCAGTTCACGAACTCTCCCCCAACTCCTTTTCCTACGATGCAAAAGGCCCTATTCGCCCTTTAGCGAGCTGAGCCCTATTTAGCCCCGCTCCTCGAATGCGGGGCCCATAAGTCCCGCCCCTAAGAGCCCAGGCCCCGCCCCTGACCGCGCCCACGCGCCTCCCGCAGGTACTGCAACGCCTTCATCTTCCACCTGATCTACAAGCCACCCCAAGGCGGCGGGGCTCGCTCGGCGCCCGGCCCCGCGCCCCCAGCCCCAACTCCCGTAGCTCCTCCTGCCCCCGCCCGTAGGCGTCGAGGAGAAAAGAAGGCTGGACGCGGAGTCCGCCGGCGGAGATGAGTGCAAAGATGGTAGCAGTCAACTCCCCCCCGCTTCCCAAACACACATCCTAGAAGAAAACAAAAATACAAAGGGGAGGATTGGTTGGTCGAACCTGAAAAGGTAAATAAAATTACTTGTTTGAAATCACTGAGTCACAGACCCTTTGATTACATGTTTTTAATTGGGCCATTAAACTAGGAAAGGAGAGAAGGATTTGGGAATGACTGATTTTATCCAAAACCTTTTCACTTGTCTGATCTCACACTCAGCTTTGGGAATGCTGATCTTCCTTGACAATCCCAAACCTCTCCCAGTTTTTATGTAGGTAAATCGTTTTCCAGCCGGGATAACCCTCAGAGATCTGCCTCAAAGCAAGGAAAGACCAAGAAGCAGAAATTGGGTTCTCTTTGGTGGATAGGGAAGCAGACAACATGTTAGGAACACACAGACCCTTTGGTTTGGATTCAGTGAAAGACCCTAGCCACCCAGCTCCACCTTCTCTCATCCCTCATTTCCTGTACATCTAATAATATCAATTTTTGCTGGGTTGATCTCCTAAAATCACTCAAATCCATCTACTTACGACCAGTTCCACTGCAAGCTTCATTATATCTCATTTCCACATTACTGCCAAAGTATCCTTTTAAAACACATTTGAGGGTTGGGGCTGTAGCTCAGTGGCAGAGCGCTTGCCTAGCATGTGTGAGACACTGGGTTTGATCTTCAGCACCACATAAAAATAAACAAAGGCATTCTGTCTGTTTACAACTACAAAAAAAGATTAAAAATTGAGGGGCTGTGGTTGTGGCTTAGTGGTAAAGCTTTTGCCTAGCACATGTAAAGCGCTGGGTTCAGTCCTCAGCATCATATAAACATAAATAAATGAAATTAAAGTATTGTGTCCATCTACAACTAAATATATATAAAGAAAAACTCATTTGAGGCTGGTGCATGCTTATAATCCCCTCTGCCTGGGAGGCAGAAGCAGGTGAATCGCAAGTTCAAAGCCAGCAATTTAGTTCAACCTCAGCAATTTAGTGAGGCCCTAAGCAATTTAGCCGCACTCTGTCTCAAAATAAAAAGGGCTCAATGGTTAAGTGTCCCTGGGTTCAAGCCCTGGTACCAAAAAAAAAAAAAAAAGGAAACACACACACACACACATATTTGAGGGCCCGGAGGTGTAAAAAAATGATAATGATAGAGCACTTGCCAAGCATGTGTGAGGCCCTGGGTTCAATTCCCAGCACCACAAAAATAAAACACATTTGAATTTAGTCCTCTCCTAAGTCCCTTTAGTGACTTCCCTCTTTCTTAAAATCAAGATGGAGGCCCAGCATGGTAGTGCTTGCCTGTAATCCCAGACAGGGAGGCTGAGGCACGAGGATCACAAGTTCAAAAACAGCCTCAGCAATTTACCAAGGCCCTAAGCAACTCAGTGAAACCCTGTCTCTAAATAAAATACAAAAAACGGCTGGGGATGTGGCTCAGTGGTTGAGTGCTCCTGAGTTTAATACTCTGTAGCTAAGGTGTTCCTTGACTATAGGCTGTAATGATTTTCAAGCTACTGAATATAGAAAACAAAAGATAACAAACCTGGCAGACACCACCTTAACCAAGCGACTAAGATTTTTTTTACAGAGTTACAAAAATTGTGCTGTGAATGGATAATTATGAATGTAATGCACTCTACTGTTGTCATGTATGTAAGAAATAAATATAAAAAAAGAAAGAAAAAATTTTTAATAAGTCCTGTTGACACTATGTGCCTCCTGACATGATGTGATGTGAAAGCCACCACACCTCTGCAGTATTCTTCCTCAAATCCACAATTTTAGGCTCATCATGGCACAATCCAACAAATCCAAATTGTAAACAGTCTACAAAATACTTGACACCGTTCTTCAAAAATGTTAAAGCCATGAAAGGCAAGGAAGGCCAAAACACTGTTACCTAGATTAGAAGAGACTAAGAAGATGTGACATTTGATTGGATCCTGAAGCAGAAGAAAAGGACCTTGGTGGAAAAATCATAGAAATCTGAATAAAGTCTGTAGTTCAGCTAATAGTGTTGTCTCAATTCTGATTTCTTAGTCTCGATTAACATGCCATAGTTGTGTAAGATGTAACATTAGAGGAAGGTGGTGAAGGGCTTATGGAAACATTCTCTTTTCGATCCATCTATTTACCTAAAATCATTTCAAAATAGAAAGTTAAAAAGTGAAGTTCTTTAATATTGCATATAAGATGCTCTCTTCCTATGAAGTATTCTCTAAGTTTCCTTATATACACAAAGCCCAGAGTCTGATAATAATAAACATCTTTATAACCATTACCTAGCTTTAAGAATTATCAATATTTTCCCCATTTTATTATTCCTACCTCCAGCTTTTTTTTCTAGAATATTTTAAAGCATATACCAGACACTAGTCGTCTCATTTATTTGCATCTATAACTAATAATGGCTTTTTAAAAAATGTAACCACCATGTACAGTAATTCCTTAGTATCTTATAATTCCCAGTTCATATTAAAATTTCTTCAGTTATCTCAAAGGTGCCTTTCATAGTTGGTTTGTTCCAATAAGGAAATAAATGAGAGTCACACGTGACTTCTGGTAGTTATGTTTCTTAGGTCTTCTTCCTTTTGTTTTTAAGGTTGTTGTTGTTTGTTTTGGTTGCTGTTGTTTTGGTTTTTGTTTGTTTTATTTTGTTTTTTAGTACTGGGGATTGAAACGAGAAGCACTTTACTTCTGAGTCACATCCATATCCCCAGTCCTTTTTTATTTATTTATTTATTTATTTATTTATTATTTTGACATGGGTCTCCCTAAGTTGCTGAGAGGCTTGTTAAATTGCTGAGTCTGATCTTGAATTTAGAATCCTCTTGCTTCAGCCCCTCTAGTCCCTGGGATTATAGAACATGCACCACGGAGCCAGCAGAACCTCTTATTCTGTAACAGATCCCCCTCCTTTTTCTTTCTTTCCCATTTTCATGCCACTGGGAACCCAGATCATTTGTCCCATAAATTGTTCTTCATTCTGGAGCTGATTACTTTCTCCTCCAGGTGTTTTTTAATTTGTTCATTAATCTTCTTTAGTTTCCACAAAATGGTAGTTAGATCTAGATGACAAGCTTCTTTTGATGTGGTCCTTGCCAACCTGATCTCATGCTACTTCTTGCTCCTCTCTGCCCTCCAGCCAAACACCTCTAAATAAAGATGCCACACTCTCTCATTGTGGAACTTCCCATTGTCTTGTCCAACTAATTACTAGACAGTCTTCTTTCCTTAGGAAAGGAGGCATTGCCTAACCCACACTTGAGATTAGACAAACCCCCTACCTCAAACTCTCACAGCACCGTGAATTTCCCCCCTGGTATTTCATCGTTCTCACTCTTATAATTCCTTGACTACCTTTTCAATTGTAAACACAGAAAGCATGAGTACTACATTTATCCCTCAGGGTCTGGCTTGGCATGTGGTAGGAGATCCTTAATTGCTTGTCTAATTACTTTCCCCCCATAATCACTGGGATTATGATTTAGGATGCATGCACCATTTCTATCCTTCCTCCTTATCTTTCTTCTTCAGCTTCAGCCCCTACAGACAGAAAGGGGAAGCCTAGCTCCCTAGTGGATTGAAGGGAAACAACTTTTCACCACTCCCTTGGCCAGAAAACAATCTTTTCCTAGCCAGACAGGCGTGGTGGTATACACCTGTAATTCCAAGTACCCAGGAGACTGAGGCAGGAAGATTGCAAATTCAAGCCCAGCCTCAGCAATTTAGTGAGACTCTGTATTCATGAAAAAAATAAATAAAACTTTTTCTAAATTTTTACCATATACTGCACAAAAGTATAAAAAGATGGCTATCTCTGAGTGGTAGGATTGCTAAAGATTTGCGTATTCATTTTGTGTGGATATGTTTGTTTTTTTAATCTATTAACACAAAGTCCTTTTGTAATAAAAATGTTTATGTACAAATTACTCCTTTAATAATTCATTTACCAACTTTATTCCCCTCACACACACACACACCCACACTCCCCTACTGGGGATGGAACTCAGGAATTGAGCTACATCCCTAGCCATTAAGACAAGAGTCTCACTAAATTGTCCAAACTGACCTCAAACTTGTGATTCTTCTGCCTCAGCCTCCTAAATCACTGGGATTATGATTTAGAATGCATGCACCATTGCACCCCAAATTTATCAAATATTGATTGAGTGTACAGAAAGCTTTGTGTTGGACCTTAGATATTTAATGGGGAAAAAAGACAGATAATGATCCCTGTTTCCAAGAAGATTATAATCTGTGTTAGTAAATCGTGGCCTCTAGCCAAAATCAGCCAACCTTCTGTTTTTGTATGACTTTTTTTTTTTTTTTTTTTTTACTGGAGATTAAACCCAGGGGCACTTAACCATTGTTCCACATCCCCAACCCTTTTCTGATTTTAGAGACAAGGTCTCACTGAGTTGCTTAGGGCCTCCCTAAGGCCTCCCTGAGTGCTGGCTTTGAACGCAAAATTTTCCTGCCTCAGACTCCCAAGGTGCTGGGATTATTGGCGGTGTGCCACCTCACCCGGCTATGTTTTTGAATGACTTTGAGAAGAGATCAAAAGAATAATATTTCATGATGTGAAAATTATATGAAATTCAAGTTGTAGTGTTAACAAAGGTATATTAAAACAACTGCAACGGTGTCTTTACATTTTGTCTGTAGCCACTTTCAGGATACAAATGGTGCTAATTGGAACAGAAATCCTATGGCTCAAAAAGTCTAAAATATCTACTAACAGGCCCTTCACAGGCAAGAGATGATGGTGCTTTGATGTTGGAGAGAAGAAGAGAGACCCTAAAGCTAATGAGGAGATAGAAACAACAGGTCATGATCAATGGATAGACATTAGAGAGAAGGAAAGGGCAGGGAGAAGGGGGAAGTAATAAAGGATGGCTCACTGGTTCCTAGCTAGGGGAACTGGATAGAAGAATGTGCCATCTGTTCACAGTAGGGACACAAGAGGTATAGAGTTGGAGTAATTGGAAGGATTTTAGAGAGAAACATAATGTATTTGGGTGGAACTTTTAAAGTCTGAAATGCTTGTAGGACATCTTGGTAAGATTCTGGAAGTCTGATTTGTTTTGTTCTGAGGTACTGGGGATTGAACCCAGGGGTGTTCTACCACTGAGCTACATACCCACCCCCCCACACACCTTTTTTTGTGCCAGGAATTGAACTGAGGGATGCTTAACCACTCAGCCATATTCTTATCCCTTTTTATTTTTTATTTGGAGACAGGGTCTCATATGTTGCTTAGGGCCTTGCTGAGTTATTGAGTCTGATTTTGAACTTGCCATCCTTCTGCCTCAGCCTCCTGAGTTGCTGGGATTACAGTCATGAGCCACCGCAACCAGCTCAGATATTTTAAAATATACAGTTGTTGTCAGTTACAGTTACTGTACTATGTATGCTACAGAACATTAGAAATTATTCCTCTTATCCAGTGTACTCCTGTGCCCATTAACCATCCCTAAAGAACATTTAAATGACACTTGATTCTAACACCCAAAGATAATCACTGTTGTCATCTTGGTGAATTTACAGACTCTTAATCAGAATGCAGAAATTTCTACAAAATTTTAATAATGATATACATAATGCTAAATTGCTATTTTTTTTTGTCCTGGGGATTATTGAACCCAGGCATGCTTTACCTCTCAACAAAATACCCAGCCCTTTTAACTTTTTATTTTGAGGGACAGTGTTTTGCTAAATTGTGGCCTCACTAAATTGTAGAGGCTGGTCTCAAACTTAACATCCTCCTGTCTTAGCCTCCTGAGTCACTGGAATTAAAAGAGTATGCCACCACAACTGGCTGCCAACTTGCTTTTATGACATAACAATACGTTATGAACATTTTTTTTAATGTCATTAGGCAGTCTATTCTCTTGGATAGTTGTATACTCGCTACCAGCCCTACTTTTGGAGATTCAGACAGTTCCTAATTTGTCTCAATATTAAGTGAAAAAGGAAGTAGAAAGTGGCCCAGTTTGCAACTTAACTGGGACCATATATGGTGTGGCCTGCCTGATGGGTGAGGAGTTGATTTGCCTGAGATGCTTTACATGGAGTTTCTGGTCAAGGATGAAAGAAGGAAGTTTATAGGTTAAAAGTGTGGGACGGAGATGGGGTCAGCCTCTTGGGTTTAGTTAGATCTGAGCCCTACAAGGGAAGAACCATGGGCAGAGGCCGGAGGAGGTATTTTAAAAAACTCCTGTAAAGCCAGGAAGGTCCTTCTCCTTCTTGGAGAACACAGTGTGGTTTCGACAGGCACTGACAAGTCTAAGGAATCCAAAAGAGTGGCTCAGGCACACAGACAACTGACAAGTTTGGAAACTTTGGCCTTCTCACTGGAAGCACTGGTGAGACAAGAAACAGCAAGCTATATAGATGGTTATCATGAATAGCCCCAGATGGTACCCACATGCTGGGGTGGGGGAGCACTTTGTTTAGTTTCTAAATGTTTGGAGGTTTTTCCTGATATTATGTTGATTTGTAGTTTGAGTCCATTTTGATCAGAGAACGTTCTCTGTATGATTTCCATTTTTTAAAACTGGTTAATGTTGAGTTTATGGCCCACGATAGATGGTCTATCTTTGTACATGTTCCATGAGTACGTGAAAAGAATGTGTATTCTTCTCTTATTGGGTGGGGTGATCTTTCAGTACTGATTGCATCCTGTTGTTTGAGGGCGTTGTTGAATTCCTCTGTTTCCTTGTCAGTTTTGGTCTCATTGCTCAATCAGTGGCTGACAGGTATGCCACGGATTATGAATTTAAGCAAAACTTGTTTGATCCCAGGTTCCCATAGTTACTAGCTGGGCAGGTATGGAGAGATCAGAAGTAGACTTCCTAGAGAAACTCTTCTGAGATCTGAACTCTGCTGGCCTAGCCTGGAAAATACAAATAGCAAATATTCTAGTTTGTGCCACACTATGTTCTAAGCATTCTCTCCTCCCCCAGGGATGCTTGACCACTGAGCCACATGCCCAGCCCTTTTTATTTTAAAACAAGGACTCTTTAAATTGCGGAGGCTGGCCTCAAACTTGGGATCCTAAGCCTCTTTAGTTACTGGGATTACAGGCATGTGCCACTACACCTGGCTGTGCTAAGCACTTTCATACATCAATTTAATCTTCACAGAAAAGCTACATAAGATGGTATTGTCTTCATTTTAGAGATGAGGAAATTGAGGCACAAGGAGGTTTGGTAACTTGAAATCAAGTCAAATAGGGTAGCCTGGGAACAAACTTAGGCAATATGGCTCCAGATATGACCTTTAACCTCTTTGTCATACCACTTCATGGAGAATGACACAATTTGCTACAGTTTGGATCTTGAATATCTCCCCAAATCCAGGGTATTGAAGGCTTGGTCTCCAGGTGGTGCTATTGCAAGGTGGTGGAATCCTGAGAAAGCGGGGGCTAGTAAGAGGTCTAGAGATCAATGAGAACATACCCAGGAAGGGGTTTGTGGGACCCCAGTCCCCTTCTCATTTTCTTTTGTTTTCTGGCCACGAGGTGAGCAGTTTTGCTCCCTACATGCTCCTGCCATAATGTGTCACCTTGTCCTCAGCCTGAAAAACAATGGATCTGCCTGAGCTTGGTCTGAAACATCCAAACTCTGAACCAATATAAAACTTTTCTTTTTCTAAGTTAATTATCTTGGTGTTTTGTGATAGCGACAGAAAGCTGATTATCACAATGACCTTGGGCAAATTACCAGCTCCTCTTGTTTACCTCTTCACCATAAAATAGGGCTAGCAACAGTACCTACTCCATAGAGTTAATAAATGAATTAACATTTATTAATTTTTAATGTAAATGCTTAAAAGAGCCCTCAAGATAGTAGGTATTCAATCAATAAGTGTCATATGATGTTGTTTTTATACATTTTTTTTTTAGTTGTAGATGGACACACAATACCTTTATTTGTATGTGGTGCTGAGAATCGAACCCATGTGCTTCACACATACTAGGCAAGTGCTCTACCACTAAGCTACAACCCCAGCCCTCATATGATATTTTGTTGTATTTGTTTTTATTGCAAACTAAGAGACCAATTCTAAGACAGAGCCTACAACTAGAACTAATTTCCCACATTTGGCAAAGAACACACCTTTCTTTACATCCCTATTAACTATAGGTACAGAAGTCCACACTTGCCAGGGCATCTACCATCACCTAGATTGATCTCCAAACAACTCTTCGTCCTCTCTTCAGTACAATTTCCTACCTTCTCCCCACCCTTAAATCCTTTCATTGGACCCTACCTGGAACTTAAGCTAAATCAACAAAATTCCTCAAGTCATCATCCCCGTTTTCCCTTTGCCGTCTTGCTCTCATAGACACTTGACGCTCCCTCAGAGACGCTACTCCCTTCAACACTCCAAAGTAGTAGTAGCTCTTTTGTTTTTCTGTCATGCTCCACATACTTGGAGGTGAGGCAGGTATCTTTCTTGCTTCCTCTTCTTCTTGCCTCTAAAACCTTTCTACTCCTTCCAAAACCAAAGCATCTTTGAAGCACATGGAAACAAGACTATACCGTTCATGATCCTCCCCTGTTGTGGTCATCTGCCCACATCTATCAACTTCTCCAAAGATAATTAGCTTACCATAACTTTTCCACCATTAATCATGTCCTCGTTGATGGGGTTTCAAATCCACCTAGGTAATCTGATACTTTAAATTTGCGGTTCCTTTCCCTTTGCATTCTATTACCAACTTTTCCTCCCTGCCACCTCAGCCACACCTCCCATGGTCAAACCCCTGACCCTGTCATTATCAGTAACTGCAGCATTTCCAGTCTCCCCATTACAAGTATTCTACCAGTATCCATCTTTCTAGCCCCTTCTCTGGTACCCTCACACCAGCAATCCCTCAGTCCTTCAAAGTCCATTAATCATGGCATGTTTTCACTATCTATCACTTTCTTCACGTCTTTGCATCTCACTTCACCAAGTTTAGATCCAGCTGTCCATTGCTACAATCATTCCTTTTCATACACTCTTTGTTTTGAAAAAAAAAATTGCTGCAGGATATTGAACCCATGGTCTCATACATGCTAACCAAGAATTACCATTGAGCTACATTCCCAGCCCTTTTTACTTTATTTTGAGATAAGATCTCACTAAGTTGCTGAGATTGACCTCAAACATGTGATCCTCCTGCCTCAGCCTCCCAAGGCACTGTGGTTACAGGCATGTACTGCTGCACCAGGCTCTGCATACATTTTTCTTCTTTCTTTCTTTATTTTTTCCTGTTTTGGTTCTGGGACTGAACCCAGGGGTGTTCAACCACTGAGCTACATCCCCAGTCCTTTTTTGTGTGTGTTTTACTTAGAGACAGGGACTCACTGAATTACTTAGGGGCTCGCTAAGCTGTTGAGGCTGGCTTTAAACTCACAATCTTTCTGCCATAGCCTCTGAGCTGCTGGGATTACAGGTGAGTGCCACCGCACCTGATTCTACATACATTCTTAATTCCCATGTCACTTGCTTGCAAAATTGCAAGTTTGGTTAAACCAAATTCCACCAATGATGAGACTTTTTCTAAACTACATGACTGGAGAGAAATAACTGTGGTGACTGATTTCACTTCGAGTTTATAATCACAAATCATAGGTAGGCTGTCATCACTGCCCAACAATTGTACTTGGTTTCCCTTCTCAGTTCTCTCTTCTACCCTCTGAAATAATGACTGAATACCCTATCTCTCCACAAATGACCACACGTCCCCATCCTCAGCGGGTGAACTTAATTTTTAATGCACACAGAAAAGAGAAGCAACCAGAACTTCCTCCTATTTCCACCAGTGCTTTCTATTGTGTCTTTTGCCTGCATGTTCCTGTTTTTTCTCTGTAGATTTTCTTTTTCAGTCTCTGTTGAATGCAATCTTCAAATGTTAGATAATGCTTTCTTCTTCATTCACATCTTTTTGTTTTGTTTTGTTTTGGTACCGGGGATTGAACCCAGTGGCACTTAACCACTGAGTCACATCCCGAGTCCATTAATTTTTTTTTTTTTAAATTTTGAGACAGGGTCTCACTAAGTTGCTTAGGGCCTTGCTAAGTCCATTTACATCTTGACCACTTCAATGAAAAACCCCTTGTTAACAATCTTGCCAAATCCAGTGGTCAGTACTTAGGACCACTTGACAGAATTATGTCCTTCCTTGAAATCTTCCAAGACCTCACATGCCCTTGGTTTTCCTCCCACCTGGCCAGTGGGTCCTCTTGCTGGCTTCTGCCAGTGTGTCTGTCCCCTAAGCTCTTCTCTCTGAGTGTGTTCATTCCCCTACCCATGCCCTGCCTGTCTGCCTGTCTACCTCCTGCTTTCTTGTGTTTAAAGTGGTACCACTTATCCTATCACTGGATCCAAATCTTAGGGAGATATAGATAAATAGATATAGATATAGATAGATATACTTTTTTTTTTAAAAGGAGCTGGGGATGGGACTGGGACTGTAGCTGAGTGGCAGAGCACTTGCTCAGCACATGTGAGGCACTGAGTTTGATCCTTAGTACCACATAAAAATAAAACAAAATTAAGCATTATGTCCATCTATAACCCATCCCACACACACATACACACACACACACACACATACAGAAACTGGGGATAACTCAGTGGTAGACTACTTGCCTAGAATAGCTGAAGCCCTGGGTTCAATTCCCAGTAGCTAAATTAATTAATTAATCCCTTCCTTCTAACTTTGTGGTTGGAGAATGCAGCTAGTACAAGTTTGGGTTTGGGGACTTTTGTACTTCCATCAGAGCCTAATGTTTGACCAATATTTATAAATGTTTTATTGGCATTGAAAAAGATATGTTCTCCATTTATGAGATAAAAAAGTCAATAAATATTGCTTGAGTGAAAACTCTGAGAGGATGCAAACTTTATGTTCACTGCTAATGTATTTACTGCTGATGTATTACTGATATCAAGCAAAGGGCCTGACGTCCATCATAGGTATTCAATAAATATTTGTTGAATGTGTGGTTAACTAATCAACTTTATTATCATTTGGATTCTCTAAACCTTTGTACCATAGTATATTTTTCTTACTTTGCATGCCAAAGACTGGTGACGTAGGTTAGTTTCCTGCTACCATTATATTTCTAACAGTTTCCCAGTCTATTTTTATTTTGGCTTTAAATAGTTTGATACAATATGATTTAGTTTATGGAGGTTTATGATCATTATATAATCACTCAGATAATAAATATATCCCATATCAGTATAAAATGTCTACTTAACAAAACACTATCTATAAGATATGGTTTAGGGCTGGGGATGTAGCTCAGTGGTAAAGCATTTGCCTAGCATATGTGAGGCACTGGGTTCTATCTTCGGCACCACATATAAATAAATAAATGTATAAAATAAAGGTATTGGGTCCATCTACAACTAAAACTAAATGTAAATTTTAAAAAGATATGGTTTAATATTATCATGCATTTATTATTTTGAATAAGCAATATATAATAATAAAATTCAAAAGGTACAAAAGTGAAAAGTAATCTTCCCTCTTCTCTCTTCTCTGATCACCTAATTCCCCTTCCCATGAGACAACATTGCAATAGAATTTTGCTGATTAGCTCAATTTAAAAACATTTAATTTTTTTTAGTAATTTAGGATTTTCTTTTGTTAAAGCATGACCAATATTGGATGTTATATTTGCATTTAAACATTGTAATATAAATATAAAACACAAAACATCCAAAATTAACACTGATACCCCACACTTGGCTTTAGATACTGAGCATTTTATACTTTACAGAAAGAAAATTTCAAAGTATTGTCAGTGCTTTTAGTATATACTATTATTCCTACCAAAATCTTAATGAAATTTAAAGCATTGATATTAAAAGTAGTTATTTCTTTTCTTGAATATTCTAAAACATGCCAGTTTTGGATTAACCTTCAAATTTTAAGGATGTAAAAGATATTCAAATAGAATACTCAAGAATATGTTTTAACATGATTATTCTGTTTACAATTATGACAAAAATACCTTCAATTTTCAAACAAAAAAATCCCTAAGCAAACAAAAGTTATTTTGGGTCAAGTTATTTCTTAGTACAAATAATATATCATATGTCAATCAATTTAAAATTTTTACTTTTTCGTATAGGAACTTAAAGTATTTGGCCCATATCCTTGGTATAATTTATCATCTTATTTTATGCTTTCTGCTTTTTATTTTTCCTTGATGTTTTTATCTTCTACTTTATTGACCCTAATCCAATATGGCTGTCATCCTTATTAAAAGAAGACATCTGGACACAAATATATACAGAGGGAAGACCATGTGAAGGGACAAATAAATCAGCCACCTACAAATCAAGGCGGGGAGCCTCAAAGGAAGCCAACCCTGCTGACTCCTTGATCCCAGACTTCCAGCCTCCAGAACTGTGAGAAAATAAATTTCTGTTACGTCACTCAGGCCATGGTACTTTGTAACAGCAGCCCTCTCAAATTAACACTTTCCAAAATAACTTTCCAAAGACAAGGGGGACCTATGTGGTCTTCTCACAGGGCATACCCCCAATGACCCGCTAGGGAGGAATCTAAAGTGGGGGAGGGGACAGAGCATAATGTGTTCCCATCTGTGCTGCCATCTGCTAGCAGCTCTTCCTTGTTGCTCAGTGGTTCCTAATGAAGATGTTGCAATGCCTGTAAGTAAATATTGCCTTCCCTGAAATGAATATATACTATGTCTAAGGATTTAAGCAGAATTGACTGCATCATTTCCACGATTTCTCTTGCCAGTAAGGAGAAGACACTGCATGGAGTTCTACTTTCGTGACCATGTTCCTGGAACTGCACCCAAGATGGGGATCCGCTAAGATGAAGATCCACTTGCAGATGAGTCATAGCTAGCAGATCCCTAATGCTCCACCTCTGTCCACTGATCCTAATCCCTGCTGAGTTGAGGACTTTTCTCAAAATGCCATCCTTCCTTTAGAATCTATTCCCGACACCCTCTTTGGTCTTGCAAATATTACAGTCAAATATGTGGTGTTGTGTTTTTTTTCCTGGTATCTCAGAGTCTGCTCACTAGAAATAATAGTGAAGGGAGAGAGTGGATGGTGAACTCTGATTCCCTGGTCTCTGAAAGTCTCAGTTGTGAGAGGGAAGAAGAAAGAAACACTGAGGGGCTGTATGTGAGGTTTCCACTGAAAATCTGAATTTGAATGCTTTACCATTTTGAACATTGTAATGTAAATTATCTCTCTTCTAAAGACTCCATCTGATCCTCAAGTGGACGTTAGGTCTCAGGAACTGGTGACCCAGGTCTTGCCATGCTCAGAGAACATTCAGTTCCCATCCCCAGCCAAATCACATTACAAAACATTCTAGATGGGAATCCTTAGATCCCCTGAATAGTATCACTTTGATTCTTGAGTCTACCTTCATTTCCTTCGCTTTCATGATTTTAACTCCCCCAACTTCAGGAAACAAAAACACTATCCATTTGGTTATTCAAGTCCCAAGTTTAGAGACATCTTTGACATCCTTTTCTCTTCCCACCTCCAGCTTCAACCCATCAGTGATCCATGCTCTCCCTATGCATCTCCCTGGCCCACAGCTACATCCTTCTCACCTACACAGCTGTAATAGTTTTTTTTTTTTTTAGTTGTAGATGGACATAATACTTTTATGTGGTGCTGCAGATCAAACCCAGTGCCTCACACATGCTAGGCAAGCACTCCATC